CCTTTGTTCCAACAATCTAAAGACAATATTTGGATATGGCGATGTCTATTCAGAAAATGACTCAAGATTTCATGAAGCTTGAACGATTTGATAGAGGAAATTTTCGATGTTGGCAAAAGAAGATATACTTTTTGCTCACCACTCTCAAAGTGGTGTATGTGTTGGCTACCCTCTATCCAGCAGAGCAAGAAGACGAGACTGTGGAGCAAACTCGTACCAGAACTAAATGGGAGAATGACGACTACATTTGCCAAGGACACATTCTGAATGCACTGTTAGACTCTCTGTTTGATGTGTATCAACATCTGAAAATGACAAAGCAACTCTAGGGCATATTATAGTCAAAATACCTCACCAAGGATGCCACCAGTAAGAAATTTCTTGTTAGCAATTTTATTGGTTTTACTATGATTGATACAAAGCTCATTATGGAACAATTCCATGAGATCCGACATATTCTTAGTCAGTTTTGACAAAAGAATATGAACATGGATGAATCTATTATAGTTTTATCTATAATAGAGAAACTGGCATCTTCTTGGAAAGATTTTAAGAAAACTTTCAAACACAAAAAAGAAGATCTGCCTTTAGAGGAATTATCTCAACACCTCCAAGTTGAGGAAAAGTCAAGACTTCTTGAAAGTAAAGATAACCAATTGGCTCATACTTCTAACATTCACATGGCCGATGATAGCAAGAGGTTCAACAAAAGGAAACGTAAGTGCTACCCCCAACCTGAGAAAGATGGTAAGAAGCCAAAAGGCGCTTGATGGCACTATGGCAAGCCAAGGCACTTCAGAAATGAATGCCAGTCATACAAGAAGAAGCTAGAAGAATCAAATGCCAAAAATAAGTTTATGGTTGTTGTATCTGAGGTGAGCATGCTCGAAGATGCTGGTGACTGGTGGATTGACTCAGGAGCTACAAGGCACGTTTGCAATGGCAAGAGCCGTTTCACTACTAATGAACAAGTGAGTAATGGAACAATTCTCTATATAAGCAACTCTTCAACTGCTGCTATCAAAGGCAAAGGGACGGTGGATCTAGAGTTCATATCTAGAAAAGTCTTTAGTCTTAATGATGTTTATCATGTATCTGATGTCAGGAAAAACTTTATATCTGGAAGCCTGCATAATAAGCATGGTTTCAAGTTAGTATTTGAGTCGGACAAATTTGTCCTATTTAAGGGTGAGATTTTCAACGGTCCCGAAAACCGGGAACCGGACTCCGAAATGGGAAAAATGACCTACGGCCACCAAATGTAGCCTACGGACATTGAGAGATGGTCTACTGGACCTCTCCCTTCCCTCAGGAAAAGAAACAGAGAAAACCGAGTCTGGTTCGCAAACCGAGGCAAGGTACGAAAGAGGGTTCGGAAGTCCAGAGGCAAGGCTCGCAGCCGCGACTCTGAGACTTCTGAACAAGCACATTATGCAACATCACCAAGCGCTCAATC